TTCTCCTCTATTGGCTTCCAGGTTGCCACACTCTCCTGGGTCACCTCCTACTTCTCTAGCCTGTCCTTTGTTCCCTTCACTGGCTCCTTCTACTATTCTAGAACACTTAATGAGGGGTTCTAAAAGCCCCTGTTCTCGAGCAAGCAGTGCTTCTCTTCTCTCTCCCCTGGCAATCTTACTCCTATGATCTTACCACCTTGATGAAGAAAAGTCCAGACCAGATCCAGACCAGTATCTCCTACTTGTTATAAAAAAGCTCTACTTAAAGGGATGGCATTGCTATCAACTAACTTGGTCAGGAAGATTGGTTGTAAAAAATAGCATTCTCAAAATTGTATGGGATTGTTTCCTACTAAATATGATGCAAAACAAGCCCATTAAGGGAAAGCAATGATGGTAAATAATGTTCAAAATTCCAAATAAGTAAATTTATCTTTAATCCTACCTGACACACCAATAGAACCTAATGTTCTGCTCCTGGGCTCTGTCCTTAGCCCTGTCCTGTTCAACGTTTTTATCAATGACCCAGATGAAGACATAAAAGGCACATTTATCAAATCTGTGGATGACATGAAACTCAGAGGGACAGTTAATATGATAGATGACAGAACCAAGATTCAAAATCATTTTGGCTAGTTGGAATGTTGGCCTTAAACCAATAAAATGGAATTTAACAGGGAAAATATCTGCCTTCAGGATCAAATATAAAATCCTCTGTTTGGCTTTTGAAACTCTTCACAACCTGGCTGCTTCCTACATTTCCAGTCTTCTTAAAATTACTCCCCCCCCACCCCCTCCCCAGCACACTACAATCCTGCAGCAATGGCCTCTTCATTGTTCCTCAAACAAGACTGCTTTTTCACTGGCTACCCCCCAGGATTGCAATGTTCTCCTTCTTCATCTCTATCTCTTAACTTCTCTGACTTCCATCAACACTCAGTTCAAATCCCAACTTCTGCAAGATACCTTTCCTGGTCCCCACCCACCTCCCCCTTCAGGGCTTTCCCTATGTGATGACCTCCAGTTTGCTCTGCATATATTTTGTGTGTACATAGTTGATAGGTTGTTGTCTCTCCCATTATAATGCAATATTCTTGAGGGTTGAACCATTTTTTTCTTTCTTTATATTTGCAGAGCTTAGCCCAGAGCCTCAAATGTTTGTTGTTGGGTTGTTCCAATCACGTCCAACTCTTCGTGACCCCATTTTGGGGTTTTCTTGTCAGAGGTACTGGAGTGATTTGTCATTTTCTTCTCCAGTTCATTTTACAGATGAGGAAACTGAGGCAAGCACGATTAAGTGACTTGCCCAGGTTCATGCAGCTAGGAAGTGTCTGAGATTGGATTTGATCCTTAAAGATGGGTTTTCCTGATTCCAAGCCCAGTGTGCTCTACCAGCGTGCGACTTAGATGGTCCAGTCTCAAACATACTAAGAGCTTAATACATTCTTTTTGACTATCTTCAAATACTGGAATGCTATCATATTAAAGAAGAAATAAACTTGTCCTTTGTTTCTTCATAGATCCAAACTACTCCCAGTGAGAAATAAGAGAAAAGCACACATTGACTCAACATAAAGAACTTGTTAGCAATTAGAGCTCTCCAAAAAGCTATAATCTGCTATATGAAGTAATGACCTTCCTATCACTGAAGGAATTCAAGGAGAGGCTAGACAAGCATCTGCTGAGGAAACTTCAGAAGTTATTTCTGTTAGATGAGTGTTTGAAATAGATACCCTCGAAATGAGACCTGAGGAAGACTTTAGATTAAAAAGGCCAGTCTTCCAATGCATCCTGGGCCATCACCAGTTATCCTGACCTATACTGAGCCACTGGGTGCTGAAGACTGGAGGAGAGAGTGAGGCTGATGATTTGCACAGCCCTGCCTCACTTAAATCCAGTTCACTTGTGAGTCAAGACATCACCTTTCTGATGTCATTGGTCCTCTTCAGGAACTAAGAACAAACAATTACAACAATAATAATAATCCCCTGATTATAATGTCTTTGTAAATATGCTTCAGGGATGGATTCAGTTTTAAAAAAAAAAAACTGAACAGTGGGTAAGTGAAAGGATGTGTCTTCTTAGAATGAACTTTTTCAAGCAAATGTCCTAGAGCAAGATGGTACAGTGAAAAGAAAAATAGTCAAAAGTCCCAAATTTTCATTTTTTTCCCTCTGCTACTAGAGCAACATTGATCAAAGTACATTAACACTCTCTGAGCCTCAGTTTTCTCATCTGTAAAATGCAGATATTCATAAGATGATCTCAATGGGCTCCTATAGCCCCCAAATTCTAATAAATCCTAGTCTTTCTTTTTTTGTTCTTGCTTGACTCAGTTTTGCCCATGACTTCGTATTCTAATACTACTCTTATATGGAGATCTTGATCAGAATACTAAACTTTATAACTAATCTTAATTCTTCTCTTGGTTTTAAACCTCCCAGTAACTTGTCCCTCAGCTCCAATCAGACTTAAATTCCTTAGTAGCTTATTTCACAGCTGCTGGGTTTTACTTATTTCCCTTAAGGGATCTTTCTCTGATTGTTCTCTGAGCTTATTCAAGAGGCAACATCTGTTAGCCTCTCCATCATTGTTTCCTTAGTCAGGAGCTCCATCTCCTCCCCTACCCCCCAGCTTTCTCCTAGCCAAAAACCTCTGTCCACCAGCCAGAAATCTAGGTGCCTAGCAAATTTCATACTCTTAAAGAGTATGAGTATATTCATACATTTCTTAAAGAGGTAAATCACTGAAAACCTACACATTTCTTCTTGGCCAGAGGATCTTAAAATGTCTGTTCCAACTCTAACAATCTGTGAGTCTGAAACTATCTGTTCCTTAGCTAGTGGCATAATCCACAAAGAGTGATGATATAGTTAATTTGGTTATCAAGTCACCCCAAGGAGTCTTAGCAAATGGGATTCTTTAGAAACTTGGTACAATGCTTGGAGCAACAGCATCCCTTACTACAGACTGACAAATTAAACAAAAAATAAACTGGTCTTATCACCAACAAAATTCAATTAAGTGAAATTGTATGGAATCTACACAAAAATTTGAGAGGGAAATGATTATGATAGGTCAGAATAATCTGTAAAAATTTCATGGAAGAAATAGGATTTAGACAGGTTTTGAAAGGTACATAGCATTTCAAAAGATGGAGACATCTGGGAACCCAAGGCTAAGAGATTAGCATTAACAAAGGCAGAAGGAAATTTTTATGATTCAATATTATTTGTGGGGAGGGCATAGGTAGGAGATCTCTCTAGCTACAGTTAAAGGTTTGGATTGGTGAATAACAAAATAATCTATTGTATGACTCAGATGGGGACAGATTAGAGAGGATCTTAAAAGTTAGATGGAGGACTTTAGACTCAATATAAGAAATAAGGAAGAACCACCATAGATTCTTAACAGGGAAATGTCATGAGGAAAATAAGAATTTGGGAAGATTAGTTTAGGGTAAACATGTCAGATATTGGGGAGTGACTGGAGGCAAGAAAGTTAGTTGAAAAGCAGCAATATAGAAATTGAGTGATAGAGTCTGGCCTAGAATAGTGAGGAAGAGGTGAATTCAAGAGAGGGTATAAAGGAAGAAACAATAGGACTGGTGAGATACTTGATCAAGAGAATGAAAGGCAACAAAGGATGACTCCAAGGTTTCTAACCCAAGAAACTAGAGTAATAATAGTGTAATTGACAGACACAAAAGCGCAAAAAAGGGAATCAATTCACAGTACAATTGTCAATAAATCAACAAACTTTTATTAAGCACCTACTGTGTTCTAGGCATTGTGCTAAGGGCTGGGGTTACAAAAAGAGGCAACAGATGGTCCCTGCCATCAAAGAGCTCTCGATCCGACTAGCAAGTGGTTTAAGTAATTTTTAAAACAGTGGTAGGTTGTGCCAAGTCATAAATATTTTTTCACTCAATCATCAATTTTAATGACTTTTGTTCAGTTATACTTCTAATTCTACATCACTGACCTTAGACTGTTCAACTCTTGAATGTCTGATAGTTGATCACTGAATAACACTAAAGAATTGAGTCATTCAGTCAGTGAACATTTATGGCATATCTACAATGTACAATACTCACTACCCTGTCTGAGGAGTATAAAAAGATTGCAGAATTTAGAATCCCGAAGTTGGCAGCATCCTTAAAAGTTTGCTCAATCAAAGCATGAATCGTTTCTACAAGATGTATAGCATATCCAAACTCCACTTGAAGACTTCAGCCAATGGGAAACTTGCTACTCCTTTCTAGCAGTTGAATATCAATCATAATAATTATTATTATTATCAACCAAATTTATATATTTTATTTATATATAATATATGATATATAACATATATGCTATATTACTTACAATGTTTTTTCTTCTCTGTGACTCTGAAGTAGGCAGTGCTGTTAAGTAAGACACATTCCCTTTCTATAATCAATGTACTCCATTATGACTTATCATATCAAATGTATCTGATTGGCTAGGTATACTTGTCTAAAAGACACCATCAAATATACACAGACATATATAGATGACGGCATATATGTGATTATATATGTGTACATATATATATATATGTATAATATATATATATATATATATATATATATATATATATATATATATATATACATATATATATATACACATACATACTTGCTTTAGGATACACTAAGTGAACTGCTTAACTTCTTTAAAGATTCTCCTAAATAATATTGGAAATGTGACAATAATTAACACATAAAAGCAAGAAAGATTAGAGGCAAAATCTCCAATTATCTGAACTCTACCAACACCATAAAATCTAGTCTTTTAAAGGACCTAAAAAGTCATCTAGTTCAGCCCCAATCTGAGCAGAGACCTCTACAATATCTCTGATCTGGTCATCTCACCCTTGTTTGAAGTCTCTCAGTAATGAAAAGAAACTCACTAGCTCTGGGTCAGCTCATTCTACTTCTAGAACCCACTGAGTGTTAGGAAATCTGTTGCTATGTTACACAGAAATCTACCTCTCCGAAACCTGTTTCTTCTAATTATTCCCTCTGGGACCAAGCTGAAGAAGCCCAATTCCTCCAGTTTTCATATAAAAAACCTTCAATATTTGAAGACAGTGAACATGTTCCCTGTAAACTCTTTTCTTCTCTGGTTTAAACATTACCAGTTCTTCAACTGATCAGGTCACCTCCAGCTTGTCAAAGCTCTTCCTACTAGATAGCTCCTCAAACTGGACTCAGTTCTTCCTCTGTGATCTGACAAGGCTGGAGGACGACAGACCCATTACCTCCTTTATCCTTAATGTGAGTTCTAAGTTCTGGCAGACATTTCACACAGTAGACTTATATGGACCTGGCTCTTTATTAAGACTAGAGGGATTTTTTTATATACATACATAAATTGTTGACTCTTTCATTCTGTACTTCTGTGGTTGATTTTTTTTCAATTCAAATATAAAACTTTACATTTTCCCCATACTAAATACTTTATTAGATCCTCTATGAAAAACATAAGGGATGTTATAATCATGCTAGATGAGTACTGGTTGTGAGCTGAACTGGGGAGGCAGTATTCATCTCAAAAATCACAGATAGAAAGTAGCAAAGTTGTGGAAAATTGCACACAAAGAGTTGACATGATTTAACAGAAGCAGGTGGAACCAAATCTGAAATCACCACCCAAAACTGACCCAAGAGAAACATTTGAAGGACAAAATGAAGAACTCATCTATTGCTGGGTACAGCTAGTTTGCTCAATGTAGTTGGCACTAGTATACAACTAGTATAGAGCACTGGACCTGGAGTCTGGAAGACTTGAATTCAAATTTGACCTCAGACACTTAACAGGTATGTGACACTGAACAAGTCACTTTGCCTTTGTCTGCCTCAGTTCCCTCATCCATAAAAAGGGGGTAATAATAGTATCTTCTTCCCAAGGTTGTTGTGAAGACGAAATGAGATAATTTTTGTAAATACTGTATACATGTTTATTATTATCATTGTTATTATTATTAATGGTGGTGGTGGTGGTACGTGGTAGCATCCTGTTCACAGATTTATGGGTACTAAACCTGAGCAGCTATGGAAACCTTTCAGGTAGATACAATGGCATCACAACAGCACAAAAAGTCTGAAGCCTGAGATATTATACCCCACATTCAGGACTAGAGCCCAACTTCCACACAAAGTCAAGAGACAAGAAGTAAGCCACTAGAACAAACAAACAAATAAATAATAGTGATAATGAGTAAGCAAAAAAGAAAGAACTCAACTATAGATAGCTAGATAGAGAAGATCTGGGTTCAAACTCAGAAGAATGTTATGGAAGTTAACAAAAAAACTACTGCTATCTCAAGAAAAAAAGGAAAATGGTCACAATCACTAAAAGAGTTTTTGGAAGGGATTACAGACAACTTTAAAAATCAAATAAGAGAGATTGCAGAAAAAAATAGGAAAAAAGAGTAATTCAGATAAATCAAGAAAATTATGGAAAGAAAGTCAACCAATTGGGGGGAAAAGTAGCAAATGATTATATTAAATTTATGTGATTCACTTTATTGTGATATCCACTTTATTGCAGTGGTCTAGAAATGAATCACAATACCTTCAAGTATGGCTGTATTTTCTTTTCCTTACATACAGTAGTTCATCTCCCATTTACCCATAGAGAAAACTTTTTACCATTACATCTGCCTTTTGGAGTCTATCTTCAAGACTCTGCTCCAGTACTACCTTTTTCAAAAGACCTTTTGTGAAAGTACCTACCTGAGCTGAAAGTGCCTAAGCATCCAGGTTTACTTGAGGTATGCTTTTTGTTTGTTTAATATTTTATAGATATACTTACATTTGCACATTTTTTCTTCTCTGGTAGAATGTAAACTCACTGAAGGTAGAAGTTGCTTAATTTTTTTTTATTCTTATCTGCCGAATATAGATCAGTGACCATGATTGCACCCACTGAATAAATTCTTCTTTATTTAATATATACTAAAAAAAAAAGGTGGACAATGAGATAATAAAATGATCTTTTTTAAAGATGATATGATGATATATTTAGAAAAGCCTAGAAATTCAACTAAAAAGTTAGTTGAAACAATCAAGAATTTTAGCAAAGTAGTGAGATATAAAATGAACATGCATAAATCATTAGCATTTATTTATATCACCAACAATACCCTGCAAGAAGAGATAGCAAGAGATACCCAATGTAAAGTTTCTATAGATGGTATAAAATACCTGGGAGTAAGTCCGCGGAGGCAAATCCAGGAATTACATGAACATAATTGTAAAATACTTTTTATACAGATAAAGTCAGATGTATATAATTGGAGAAATATTAATTGTTCATGGCTGGGCAGAGTAAAATACAAATGACAACTCTACGAAACTAATCTACTTATCCTATGTCATCCCAATTAAACTACCAAAAACTATTTTATTGAGTTAGAAAAAAATAATAATGAAATTCATTTGGAAGAACAAAAGGTCAAAAATGCCAAAGGAAGCATCGAAAATGAAAAGGGTGAATTCACACCAATGAAGAGGAGATCAAAAAATATCAAAGGAATTAGTGAAAAAAATATGAAGGAAGGAGGTCTACCGGTATCATATGCTAAACTATATTATAAGGTGGTAATTATCAAAACTATCTGATATTGGCTAGAAATAGAAAAGTGGATCAGTGGAATAGAGTAGACATATAATACAAAGGAGTAAATGATTATATTAACCTTGTGTTTCACAAAAGTAAAGATGTAAGCTTTGGCGATAAGAATACACACACATATCCATACATACATACATACATACACATATACATACACACATTGTGTGTGTGTGTGTGTGTATGTGTGTGTGTGTGTGTGTGCACAGCAAATGGTGGCCTTCTCTAGTATGGTATAGGGAGAGAGAAAGACAATTCAGATCTTAAAATGTAATAAAAAGAAGAAAATGTCAATTAAGTATTAGCCATATTTTCGTCAAAACGATTAAGTGTGTACTTGCTTCTTTCCTCTTTATTATTTTAAAGCTGCTTTTGGTAAGCATTTGTTAAGAAAAATAATATTCACTTAAGACACTAAGTCCAGAGCAAGTTGTCCTGTAGCTGTGGACTCCAGATATGGTCCACAAATCTAAGGGGAGAAAAATAATTGAGTTTTTTTAGATTATACAAAATATTTGTATCTAACCCTAGCATTTACAGCCTGAACTTATCATAGGATCCAAATTTTGTTTTTTAAAAGACCTTCAAACCCAATTACTTCCTACCTTTCTTGGAAAACTTTTCTAAAACCCTTGCCTTCCTCAAAAGTGAAGTAAGTGATAGTGGGATTGTGATGGTTAATTAACTTTAATATCACTAATAAAGGAGACTGATGCTATATGCAGATTGGAGAAAAATACCTACATATATTAAACTTTTCTCTGTCACAATATTAACCTTCTGAATATGAGGAATGTGCCTTCTCTATCTTGTGTAATATTTAACCCAGGACCGTGTGTAAGCAGGCATGTAGATGTTTGACCTCTTACAATTGGAATTTGATCCTGGTTTCTCTGCATTGAGAGTAGCTATTATCACCAGTGTTAGAAACGAACTGTAATATTTGACAGAGAAAATCGTTCCCTGACATTTTCATCTAATAAATATTAATTTAATACCTCCTATTTCTAAGTTGTTGTGAGGTTCTTCCTTATATAAAGGCATCATTTGCCTCCCTCTAATTTTCAACCCATTGATGTTAGTGCAGCCCTCTTAAGGAGATATAAGACAAAAATCTATTCCCTCTGCCATATGCCAGCACCACAGGTATTTGAAAATAGTCATCCTATACTCCCTATGAGTTCTGTTTTCCAGGCTAAATAGTTCTAATTCCTTCAAGAATGCTTCATTTGACATTTTGAGGCTTTTCAACCTCTTCCTTTCCCTCTAGATGAGCTCCAATTTTGTATGGGTTTTTCCTTAATTGTAATGCTGAGAACCAAATGTGACCATAATATTCTCAATATGGAGTAACGAGAACAGTGGATAATCAAATTATTACCTCTTTGGCAACAAATTTTACTTTTATTAATATTGCCTGAGATGACATATGACAATAATACCACATATGTTGATGGAAATTGAGTTTATAGGCATTTATACACGGTACCTAGCCCTACTATCCCCATCAGGAAACATGCAGTTGGATGTAGCTTTTACCATTACAATTAGTTCTATCTTGGGCACCTTCTTTTCTCTATATATATTTTCTGTTTTGGTAACCTCATTAGCTTCCATGAGTTCAACTATCAGTTCTATGCAAATGACTCCCAGATCTATATACACAGTTACTGCTTTATTTCAGGTTTTTGTCACCTCTCACCTAGATTACTGCTGCAATAGTCTCATAACTGGGCTTCCTACTTCAACTACAACCCACACATCGCTGCTAAAGTAATTTTCTTTTTTGTTTGTTTTTTGTTTTTGTTTTGTTTGGTTTTTGCTAGGCAATCGGGGTTAAGTGACTTGCCCGAGGTCACACAGCTAGTTAAGTGTCAAGTGTCTGAGGCTAGATTTGAACTCAAGTCCTCCTGACTCCAAAGCCAGAGCTCTATCCACTGCGCCACCTAGTTGCCCCTAAAGTAACTTTCTTAAAGAAGAATCTGACCATGTGACTCACCTATTCAATAAACTCTCATGGCTTCCTATTGCCTCTAGGATAAAACATAAGCTATTGAGTTTTGCTTTTAAAGTCCAACCAGTTTCAATTTATCTTTCTAGCTTTACTGGCACAAGCTGTTCTCATGCCTGGAATGCCCTTGTTCCTTACCTCTGCTTCATAGAGTTCTTCTCTTCTTTAAGATGTAGCTTAGACACCATTTTCTATATGACGCTTGGCACAAAGTAGACACTTAATAAATACTCAATGCTAATTGATTGGTTGTGATTTTAAATGTCATCAAGGGTACAGTGATTTCTACAGTTACCTGCTTATTTTTCAGGCTCTTAGTTTTTCTGCATCTTTACAATGTCCTCAGGATGACATAAAAAGGCAGTGGAGTCAGATCTGGGTTCCTTTTAAAAGGAATGAGAATTAGAATGTGGTAGCACCATAAATAGCCATTAACAACAAGTCTGAATTTATTAGTTGACAACGGGCCCAGAGAGAATAGGAGTGATTTATTGTATTCTACCATTATCTAACTATTCTAATTTTGGCAAGTCACTTCACCTCTGTGCCTCAGTTTTCTTATGTTAAAAGAGGGGCTTGAGCTAGGTGATATCTACGGTATGATTTCACTCTAACATCCTTGTTCTGTTTTTGCCTGTAATGTAAAGAGAAGAATTGGTTTTAATTAGGTCATTCATCCCATCCTTTCTTCTTTGCATTAGGTCTAGATGTCTACTGGAGAAGGAAGACGAAGAATCATTGGTCCTGGCTAGCATACAGCAGAAGTCATAGCAATCAATTAAGAGACCCATTAATGTTACACTACAAGCAAAAATAACTAGATAAGTAGAGCTGGCAGCTGGTCACGTCACATGCCTTGAGAGGATCAAACCACTCTCACATATCTTAATTACTGCCCTGCCTCAGTACCTAGATTTTCCACCATGGTGAGAGGTAGCTAAGAACAATGGGATCAGTGGACTTAAAAACAAAAGACACAGATGTGATTGAGTCCTGGCTCAGATGCACAATCTATGTAACTTAATATCTTTCCAAGGCACAGATTAATTTTTTTTCATTTGTATCATGGGCACAATAATAAATTCACTAGCCACTTCAGAGTTGTGAATAAAACATTTTGCAAGCTATCAAACTCTACATGTTTGAGTTCTTATTGGCTGTATGGTTCCTTTGGATTAAAGCCATATATATTCACTATTAAAGGTCATTATTAAATCAAATTATTTTCAGCTGTAAGAGGAAACACCTCAGTAATTCACATTTCTATAGCACTTTTGAGTTTTACAAAGAGTCTTCCTCTCAACCTCTCAATTAAGCCAGGTCATAAAAGAACTATTATCCCCATTGTACAGATGAGGAAACTAAGATCTAGGATAATGAAATGACTTAATCAAAGCTGTATTGCTAGTAAGTGGCAGGGCCTGGGCTCAAACTTTATCCTCTAACTACAAGCCAAGTTCTCTTGCCCTCAGACCATGCTATCTTTCTGAGTTAAGCTATAATTCACCAAATGCATACATATTATAGAAGGGTAGTCAATGAGAAAAGGGTTCTCATCTGTAAAATGGGGACAATCTTCATAAAGCACCAGACTGTTTTGAGACTCAAATGAGGTGATATATGTAAAGGGCTATATGTTTAGAGCTTTATATAAAAGGGAGATCTTACTATTATTACCACATCCAGGACTAGTAATTTTCGATGGTGAAAGAGGCAAAGGTAAAGTGTTATGGAGCATAAGCACTGCTCAAGGAGCACAGTCCTGATTGTTATCAGGCCTGAAGAAGTTATGTTCACCTAAACAGCATCCCAAAGAGAGCTTCCACCTTAATTTATTAAATATTATTTCTTAAATTAACTGTAGAAATCTTCACTAACTGTTGCCCATATCCTTCTATCAAATCCCTTAATCTACTGCAATTACATAAATATGAAATTTAATGATTATATAATTTAATAATGAAGTCAATAAGAGCATGATGATGTAGGTAACTGTTTACAATATTTTAGCTGGGAAAAAGATCGCAGCCTGTAACCATCATTGTAACTGCAGATGACTTCTGAAAATACACACCCAGCATTTAGCTCTCTCAAGAGACCAAGAAAAGTCTCTTTTTGAGAGTTCTCTTCATCCTCTTCATAAAATAAAGATTGAAACAGCACCATAAAGAAGGAAAACCTCTGTCTCTCATGATTCAGTTTTGTTTTCATTTTCTCCAAAGCCATCTTCTTCACTTTCTCAGAAGCCTTCTCTACTAACTTCCCTCTCCTCAATCTCCCAAAATCTACTAAGATAGACCTCTCTCAAAAAATGACAGCTAAAACTATACTGTCCAAAACTACTCTACCTCTTATGGAGACAGCGTAGTTTCTATAGCCTCTGTAGGAAAGTTGTTTAAAGTAGGGGTTTCATTAAATTGTCCATGTAGCGTTGACCTCAGTTTTCTAGTGAGAAGAGAAGAGGGAATATGATGCATGTTTATTAATGTAAGTGAAAATATCCTAGCAACTTATTTCCATCTATTTTAACTATTCAATCTATGGAACAAAAAGGATTGACTGTAAGTGGAAGTTATGTAGCATAGTGCATATAGTACTGAAATTGAAGTCAAGGCTGTTGAATATAACTCAGACACTTCCTACCTATGTGACCCTGCTCAAGTCTGCCTCAGTTTCCTCATCTGTAAAATGTGGATAGTAATAGCATCTACCTTCCAGGTTGCTGTGAGAATCAAATGAAATAATTGACATAAAACGCTTTTCAAATGTTAAAATAGTGGCTATGATGACAAAATATGGATACAAGCATGACATTTGGGCAGTGGGAAATGCATTTTGAAAATGAACTGTGATATTGCCCTCTTTCTGATCATAATCTTTCCTCTAGGCCTGATCTTTGACTCAAACAGCCATTCTTTAAGTAATATCACTGAATTGAATTACAATATTTTTTCAAGATTGAATTCACTTGGAGAATTTACATATGAAAAGCATAACTTCACTCTTTTCAAAATGAGATGTTGGGTTTCTTTAGGCCAATAATAGGATTCTTTTTTCCCCTAGTATTATTCTACTTAATATATATTTTAATAGTATTGTCTGTTTTCCCAATTACCTCAAGACAATTTTTGGTATTCATTTTTTATAAGATTTTGAGTTCCAAATTTTTCTTCCTTCCTCTCTCCTCAACTCTTCCTAAAATGGTAGGCAATTAGATATAGGTTATACATGTGTTATCATATTTCCATATTAGTCACAGTTCTGAAAAAAGAAACAGATCAAAAGAGAAAAAAACACAAAAAGCGAAAAAAAGTATGCTTTGATCTTCATTCAGAGTCCATCAGTTCTTTATGTGGATGTGGGTAGCATTTTCCCTTATGAGTCTTTTGTACTTGTTTTGAATTATTATGTTGCTGAGAAGAGCTGAGTCATTCATATTTGATCATCATGTGATGTTGCTGATACTGTGTATAATATTTTCCTGGTTCTGCTCATGTTACTTTGCATCTGTTCATACAAGTTTGTCCAGGATTTTCTGAAATACACCTGTTCATCATTTCTTATTGAACAATAGTATTTCATTACATTCATATACCACAGTCTGTTCAACCATTACCCAATTGATGTGTATCCCCTCAATTTCCAATATTTTGCTACCACAAAAAGGGCTTCTATAGATGTTTTTGCACATGTAGGTCTTTCCCCTTTTTTATGATCTCTTTGGGATATAGACCTCATAGTGGTATTGCTGTATCAAATAGTATGAACAGTTTTATTGCCCTTTGGGCATGGTTCCAAATTGCTCTCCAGAATGGTTGGATCAGTTCTCAACTCCACCAACAGTACATTAGTGTCCCAATTTTCCCACATCCTCTCCAACATTTACCATTTTCCTCCTTTACTATATTAGCCAATCTGATAGGTGTGAGGTGGTACCTCAAAGTTGTTTTAATTTGCATTTCTGTAACCAAAAGTGATATGGAACATTTTTGCAAATGCCTATAGATTGCTTTGATTTCTTCATCTGAAAACTGTTTGTTCATATCCTTTGATCATTTATCAATTGGGGGATGGATTGTGTTGTTATAAATTTGACTCAGTTCCTATATATTTGAGAAATAAGGCCTTTATCAGAGATACTTGCTATAAAGATTGTTTCCCAACTTTCTGCTTTCCTTCTAATCTTGGTTGCATTGGTTTTGTTTGTACAGAAGCTTTTTCATTGAATATAGTTCAAATTATGTATTTTACTTTGTGTCATAGTCTCTATCTTTTGCTTAGTCATGATCCTGTAACTCATTTAACTTCTCCTTTAAGAATTTGGATGCTATACCACTTGGTGGATATATGTTTACTAGTGATATTACTTCATTGCCTATGGTACTTTTTAGTAAAATGTAGTTTCCTTCCTTATCTCTTTTAATTAGGGCAATTTTTGCTTTTGCTTTGTCTGAGATCAGGATTGCTGTCCCTCCTTTTTTAAAATTTCACCTGAAGCATAATAAATTCTGCTCCAGCCCCTTACCTTTACTCTATGTGTGTCTCTTTGCTTCAAGTGTGTTCCTTGTAAACAACATATTGTCCAACTCTGGGTTTTGCTCCCCTCTGCTATCCACTTTCATTTTATGGGAAAGTTCATCCCATTGACATTCATAGTTATGATTACTAACTGTATATTTCCCTCCACACTACTTTTCCTTCTGTTTGTCCTCTCTCTCCTCTCACTTGTTCCCTCCTTGACAGTGCTTTCTTTCCCTAGTCTGCCCTTTCTTCTGTCAATCCCCCCCCTTTACGTAATCTCCTTTCCTCCTACTTCCCTGTCCAGTAAGATAGATTTCTATATTCAACTGATTGCACATATTATTCCCTCTTTGAGCCAATACTGATGAGATTAAGGTTCAAGCATTGTCCATCACCCACCCTTCCATTTTTCCTTCCTCTGTAATGGTTTTTTTGTGCCTTTCCATGTGTAATAATTTGTCCTTTTCTACCTCTCCCTTCATCCTGCTCCTCATGTTCTCCTTTCTCATCCCTCAATTATTTTTATATGTCATTCCCTCAAATTCACCTTATATCCATACCCTCTGTCTATGTATATTCCTTCTAGCTATACTATTATTAGTACAATTTTTTAAGAATTACAAGTACAATCTTCCTATGTAGGGATGTACACAGTTCAAGTCCATTGAATCCCTTATGTTTTCTTTTCCTTTTTTACCTTTTCAGGCTTCTCTTGGGTCTTGATATTGGAGATCAATTTTTGTTGTTGTTGTTGTTGTTCAATTCTGGTCTTCTCCTTATGAAAGCTTGAAATCCTTCTATTTCATTAAATAACCATTTTCCCCCTTGTGGTATTATGCTTAATTTCACTGGGTAGGTGATTCTTGGTTGTAGTCCTAGTTCCTTTGCCTTCTGGAATATTATGCTCCATGACCTCTGCTCCTTTGATGTTCCGTAAGTTAAGTCCTGTGAAATCCTGGTTGTGGCTCCCCAATATTTGATTTTTTTTCTAGCCATTTTTAACTTGATGTGATAGTTCTGTAATTTGGCTGTAATGTTCCTTGGAGCTTTTATTTGGGGTTCTCTTTCCTTGAGGTGATCAGTTGATTCTTTCAATGCTTATTTTACCCTCTGGTTCCAGGATATGAGGGCAGTTTTCCTTGATAATTTCTTCAAAGATGCTATCCAGGTCTTCCTTTTGATTATGGCTTTCAGGTAGTCCAATGATTCTGATATTGTCTCTCCTGGGTCTATTTTCCAGGTCAGTTGTTTTTAAAATGAGATATTTTACATTTTCTTCTATTTTTTCATTCTTTTGAATTTTATTGATTCTTGGTGTCTCATGGAGTCATTAGCTTCCACTTGCCAAATTCTAAATTTAAGGAATTGTTTTCTTCAGTTAGTTTTTGTACTTCCTTTTCCATTTGGCCAATTGTACTTTTTAAGGAGTTATTTTCTTCAGTGGCTTTTTGTATCTTTTTTTTTTCCATTTGGCCACTTCTACTTTTTAAGCAGTTGTTTTCTTTTTCCAAACTATTGACTCT